CACACACCTGGAGGGAAGCTGGCAGCGGATCATGGAGCGGACCGCGGAGTGAGGTCCGGTCAGGTTACCTAACCGAAACGCCGTCAAGACGAAGTTTAAACGATATTGGAGCTGCGCTACTCAGCGGGGGTGACACATCGGCACGCGTGACGACTCAGGCGAATCCAAAGCAGAGGGGCTTCCCACCCCGAGACCCCCTGGCTTCAACTCAGTAAGGCCGAGCACTGACCAGCGCCAACGGTGAAGTTTCTTTGCGCCGGGTGCGGGGCGCGCCGTCTCATGCCCCAGCTTCCTCTCTTCTTGGTGCTGCTGGGGCCCATGTGCACCGGCAACGGCGCCAGCGCTGTCTTCAGGCGCTGTCAGCGAGCCGCGACCTCACCAAGCTCGGCTGCCTTCACCTGTGCACCGCCGACTCGCGCCGTCATCCTGGCAACGGCCCGGCGGCTCCCTCGCAATTGAGCGCTCCGCGCCGCGCTTGCACGTGACCGAGCTGCACGCGAGAGCGCGCGCGCGAGACGCCACTTGCGCGCTGATCTCCGTACGCGCTCAGCCTAGTGCGCGGCAGCCGCCAGTGCGCGGCCGGGCGCGGTGCGCCGGCCCATGCGCTACCGGTGCTTGCGCGGGCGTGCCGGCCCATTCGCTATCGACGCCCGCGTTCTGCTGCTGGGGCCAACCCACGCAGCCACGGTCATGCGCCACCTGGGCTGGGAAGCGAGTCCCACTAGGACGCGAACATGGTGTGGATTTGGATTGGCGTGCCGGCGCTATCCGACAGCATAGCAGCGACATTTGTGACACGGTCGTTGCGTCTTGCATTGGGGTGCGGCATATTAGTTTCACACCGCGCGCAGCATATGCCGTCGTTCTCCTTATCGCGTACTCCGGCGTTGCATGTAATTCTGTTTATGATGCATCCGTCCGGCAGTTGCTCAACCGGTTTCGCGCGCCGATCAAAAGCTTGCGAGCGCAGCCTCGACCTCTGGAGGCCTCCCGCGAGCCACGAGTTAAGCCGTTACGATCACGAACAGCTTCAGCGCGCAATGGATTTGGCGAGACCAAGCTGTTGGGCCTCGTGCGCGCGGCGCGACTGACGTCGCAACCGCCACTCTAATTACCTTGGCCCAGTGCCACGGCGCAGCCAGGCCCTGAGTGCCCGGGCGACCAGGAATGCACCCGCGCGCGCGCGGGCGCGGGCACGCGCGCGCACAGCGCAACAGCCGAAAATATACATCCGTCTGCTCATTGGAGTCTGCGCAGTAACAGCCTGGACTGTCCGGGCGCCCTGCCAGCGCAGGGCAGGCGGGCGGCTCTTGAGTCGAGCGAAGAATGTTGCCAACAACCCAGGCGACCTCAAGCGAGCAGCGCCGCAGTCGTGGCCCATAGGAGGCCCCTGCGCATGTTGAGGAGCTGCCCGACCACCAGGCAGTCTCCTGCGCTCGTCCCCCCGCCGCCCCGCCGAGGAAGTTCTGGGGCGCAGGAATCGCCCCGAACGGCAGCCTGGGCCCGAGTCGCGCACTTCCCTGCGCGAGCTGTCGCGCACCCTGCCGCGTCGCCTCGCCGTGGACGACGACGCGTCGACGCCGCGCCAGCGCGTCGGCCCGGGCGCGAGGCAGCGCGGCCGCCCGCGCGCAGGGCAGTCCGACCGCATGGCGTTCACCATGGACGTCGAGCCTAAATTCTCCGGCGCCCTCGAGGAGGCCTTCGGCGGCGGCGCCGCCGCGGCTGGCTGCCTCGGGCACATGGGGGCGGGCACGTGGCAGACTTGCAAGGCGCCCCACAAGAACTCGGCGGGGCCCCCGGGGCCGCGAGCAGCGCTCCGCACCGCGCGCGGCTAGTTCACCAGGGAAGGGGCCGTTCGCATCGGCAAGGAGGCGATGATTCTGAAGGCGCGTGCCCGCATGGGTGTCAAAGGGCCATTGGGAGAACGTCATGCTGGGGAATGCCGCGCGGGAAAACATGGCCAATGCGCCCGCGGTCCTGCCGGCGGCGGGAGAGAACCCAACGCGCGCAACACGCCTGAACAGGGAGATGGACTACGCGAGGAACGCCGCCCACATAATTTCCTCAACATCTCGCGCCGCAAGACCTCGAAGTTGGGGCTGGCGGACTCGGCCCCCCCCACCCCCCCGTCGCGGAATTATTGCCCCCCTTGGCGCGTCATTTCCACGAGGCCCCCATCCGCGCCAAGGCGACGCAGTCGGGCGGGGAGGGGATCGCCAGGGATCTCGACGTCGCGATGCCCGGGGAGCTGGGGCGGGCCTTCCGGCCCATCATCAGGGGCATGCGCGCCCAGGCGCCCCCGCTGAGCATGAACGCCCCCAGCCATGCGGCGGCGATCACCGCCGACGCTTGCATCCAGATGTCCAGGTTCGTGGCGAACATCAGAAACTACACCAATGGTCTGAACAACATGCACTCCTCAATGCACGACGTCAGGCAGAATTCTGAGCTGATCCTGCCGAGCGCGGGCAGATCTACCCCGCGCAGCTCGTCGCGGTCACCGCCGTTAAGGACTTCATGCCAATGGCGACCTATCAGGTTGCCGCCCCCCAGGAGGCCGCGGACGACGACGTGGCGAACGAAGGCCGACGGGCACCCTTTCGTGCAGGAGGGGCCGCGTCACGGACGCCAGCGCGAAGATGAGGGTCTGGTACGCCAGTGCAGCGCGAATGCGCAGCTGTGCTGGGCCTTGGAGGTCATCCCGCATGCACTCCCCACTCATCGCTCCCGCGTCAGTCCCTGCAGTGGGCACTTACTCGCCGACAGCGGTCTGGCGCTATAGCCCCCTATCGGGAACGGCGACTGGGGGGCCGCGCTGCGCTGCCCAACGTGCGCGTGCGAATTGTCTGTGCTACGTCATGACGTCACCATCTAAAGGGCAGTTGCACGCGAGCGCGTCGACGCGCTCAGCAGCGCCTGTCCCAGGGCTCTGCCGGCGAGGCACGCCCACAGTCGCTAAACATGGCATCGGCCACCAGGCGTCGGGAGCCCGGCAGCGAAATGCAGGACCGCACGGTCGTCGTGGTTGCGCGCGACCCCATGTCTTGGGCAAGGACAGCTAGCCGAACCAGCTCCCCTCGCATGGCTGCTAGCAGCGCGAACCCCGCCGGCCCCGCAACGGATCGATGGGAAGCGCTTGTGCTTCTAATTGGCACAGCACCATCCCTGTCTTCCAGAACGCGCTGTGCAGCACAAATGCGCGTGCGTCTTGGCAGCCGCCGCCGCGTGCCGATCGGCTTGAGCACGCTCGAGCCCGTGACTGAGCTGCGACGAGCACTGCGAATGCGACCCGACCGCGCGCCCATAGCAGATCTCGTTGGACACGAGCACTATCGAGAAGCCGCTCCATTCCATCAGTGGCCAGCCAGCCTCTCCACCGATTGCAGGGGATGTCACGCGTCCTGCGTCGCGGGAGATTGGCGCCGCGCGGAGAACAACGTGGACGTCCGCATCGCGAATCTCAGGTGGGCACAATGCGCCAGGCACTTGACAGGCGTGACGCGCGCGTGCCTATTGGCTTTGGCATCTCAGGACCGCCTGCACTACTGCGAGATGCCAGCTCGACAGCGCGCCGCAGAGGTCAGTGCTGCATCACTGGCCACGCTGCCACACTTCCTTACAGACTGGCCGTCATGCATCGTGGTGGCCTGGAACGTTGACCACGCCGTGCTATGGCAATGGGGCAGCTACGAGCAGCCGAGGGGGGCACCTGCGACACCGCGCTGCTGTTGGCCGCATCCAGACAGACCGCGCCGCGCCGGTGCCGCTCAAAAATCACGAGACCAAAGCGCTCACCAGCCAACCGATGGGATTGGCAAGCGTTGGCAACGAGAGGCACACTGCCGCTAATAGCTGGACGAGCTTCATCGGGTCGCACACGAAACAAGGCGCGCTGGTGATCCCCCGCTTCGCACCCGCGCAAGCGACGCAACGGTCATCTACGCCCGCTAGCACCTTCTCACAAAAGGGTGCCGAAGGCGAGAGGCCACAACAGTAGCCTGCAGGGAATGCAGCCAGAGAGCGAATCTGGCTCAAAGGCACGATCGGTGCTGCGGCTCGAGCGCACGCCCAGCCCGATCTGTGCTGTGCCCCTACGAGCAAGCGCTCCCGGCCGTGAGGCAACATGGGCTGGTCGCGTTGGGCAAAGAGCCTGTCCCTGGGCTTTCCCGGCTGTGAGGAATCGTTACGATCCACAACCCTGGCCCGGGCCAGGTCAGCTCATCTCGCGTACGGGCTGATCACAAGTGACAGCGAGCCGGCAGGGCTCCCAGGGTTCACAGGATTCCGTGCGGGCTGAGGCTCTTGAGGCATGGGTGAGTTGCGCCGAGCGTCCGCTGCTGAAGTTTTGCGGCGAATGCTCTAGCACCTTAAAGTGGGTGGCCCTCTGTAGTCGATGTGTTGCGGAGGGGAACTCCATTGTCGGGTAGCCCCCGCTGGAATAGGAGAGGTCCGTTGCCGTTTGGCTCACAGCGGTCCCGCGCTCTGTACAATGTTAAGGGACAAAGACCGCCGCTATGGTCTCTCTCTCTCTCTCTCTCTCTCATGTTACCATCGCATATACGTATGTCTCTTATCTTCCACCATTGCCATCCAACATTTTTGTATATGTTCCTCCGCGTCCTTGTGTTTGTCTTCCTCCTCGTTGTCCTCATGCTCCCTCGCTGCCCTCCCCGTCCCCATCGCTGTCATCCTCGTCATCCGCCGCCGGTTGTCGCCATCATCCTTCTAGTCGGTTTTTTCTTGGGGGCCCATTGAACAACCACGGTGTTCTTGCCGGATCAGGTTGAGCGTTCCGTATGGTATCGCGACATGTGTAAGCATGGATTTTCGGAAGTTCGCGCCGATTGCTTGTTGGGTCTGCGCTGCATTCCCCCTGGATGCGTCTCTGGCGCCGCCCTCGACGCGTTCCGCCGGATACGGAGGTCCAGCGAGTGACCCAAGAATTTCGCGCAAACCGTCGGATTCTTATGCTTGCGCAGTTGGTTCATGCTTCTCTAGAGGAGGGCTTCGTGCGCACCCACAAGGTGCAGCTGCTGAAGGGCATGGGCGTCTCCATGGTTAGCCTGACCATCGTGGTCCTTATGAGTCTGGCTGTCCATCGGTCCTGGGACGACGCCCAGCACGAGGCACAGGAGGCTAGGAATCTCAGCAGATGGCAGTCTGTGATCCACTGTATTATTCTCGGGTGGATGCTCGTTGCTTTCGGCTCCGGGAGACTGCTCGCCAAGCGCAATGTTGTGAGCACCTTGGTTCTGGAGGTCATTGTTGTGACTACAATCGCACTCAATATGTTCTTGTTCGCGATCGTTCCGAAGCACTACATTGCGCGAGCATTCGGCCATGACGACACGGAGGCCATATGGGACGTGGAACTGGGCGCCACCGACTGTAACCTAATATTGGTGATCGACCTGGCCACCACCTTTGTGCATTTGCTGATGCCGATCCGCTTTGTGGTCCTCATCCCCTTGGAGGTGGCCGCCGTCCTGGCCTACATCGCGCCACCGCTGACCCTCGGCAGCCCGGCCATGAACCAGGTCCCCTTCAATGTCATCGGCATCCTCTCTCTCGTGGTCATCTCGGCCATCGGGAAGCGGGCCGCTGAGCGCCAGGAGCGCCTCATGTTCGCTGGCCTCCTATCGGAGAAGCAGCTGCGGTTTCAGGCACCAGGGGCAACGCAACGTTTGGGGGGTGGCAGGCTCAGGGGGGATGCATCGATCCCCAATCGCCCAATCATCGCCGATAGGGACCCGATGGTCCGCCCCTCGCAGGACCGCGGGAATCCGCTATCGGGGGCCTATCGCCGAGCTGTGGGCGATGTATCTCTGGTTCCAGTTCGAAGTTCCCCCCTTCCCTCCCCGTCGGTTACCTCCCAACGCTGGCCCCTCGAGGCGGAGTTCCAGCTGTCCAACAGCGCAGCGGCCGCGGCTAGCGGGCAGGAGCAGAGGAGCAAAAACTCGGCACAGTCGTAACTTCGCGGAGCCCCGCGCGGACTTCTTCGATCGGCGCTGAAACCCCCGCCCCTGGCGTGCGGAGCGCGCCGGGGGCGGTGGCGGAGGCGCCGCCAGGGTGGGGCTCCAGCGCAGATCCAAGATCTCCTCCTGGTGCTCTGCGAAGTGATGCTTCTGCCGCCCTGTGCCCTTCGGAGGAGATCCAGCAGCGCTGCGGCTCCGAGCGATCCGCCGCGCTGACCCGCCCGGAGACGACACTGAGCGCGGCGGCGTTCGAGAACGACGCCGAGCACTCGTCGCTGTACCAGATCCGCGCGGTCGGGGAGCGGGAGCAGTGGCTCATCGCCAGCGGGGAGGTGGGACGCAACAAATATCAAAACAGTGGGAAGAGCGCATTCTGTGGTCGCTTGGAGGGAGGGTGGGTTGGAACCGGACCCCCCCTCCTGGCGGCGACGGCGGCTGGCGGCGGCGGCTGGCGGCGGCGGCGGCGGCTGGCGGCGGCGGCTTGGACGACGATTTTCTTTTCTGGGCTGGCGCTGGCGCCTGCGGCGGCGGGCGGCGGCGGGGAGCGTCGACGATGGTGGTGGTCGTGGTGCTGGTGGTGGCAGTGTTGGTGGTGGTGGTGTGGTGGTTTGTTGTGGGGGTGGTCGTTGTGGTGGTGGAAGGTGGTGGTGGTTTGTGGTGGTGGTGGTTTGGCGGTGGTGTGGTGGTGGTTTGTGGTGGTGGTGGTGGTGGTGGTGGCGGTGGTGGGTTGTGGTGGTGGTGGTTTAGTGGTGGTGATGTGCTGGTTTGTGGTGGTGGTGGTGGCTTGTGGTGGTGGCGGTGGTTTGTGGAGATGGTGCTGGTGATGGCGGTGACGGTGGTGGTGGTGGTGTGGTGGATTGTGGAGGTGGTGGTGGGTTGTGCTGCTGGTAGTGGTGGTGGTTGCGGCGGTGGTGTTGGAGGTGTTGTAGATTGTCGTGGTGGTGGTAGTGGTCGTGGGTTTTTGTGGTGGTGGTGGTGGTGATGGTGAGTTGTGGTGGTTGTGGTGGTGGTGGTGGCTGTGGTGGTGGTGGTTGTGTGGTGGTTGGTGGTGGTGGTGGTGGGTTGAGGCGGTGGTGGTGGTAGTGGTGGTGGTGGTGGTGGTAATCGTCGCTGCGTCCCCGCCGTCGCCGGCGCCAGCGCCGGCGTTGCTGGCCGCCGCCAACGCCAGCTCTGGTGCCGGCGCCAGGGGGGGGTAGGTTGGATCCCCCCCGTGGGCTGCCTCTGGTCATCGTCGCTGCGTCCCCGCCGTCAGCGCTGCTGGCGGCCGCCAGCGCCGGCGCCGGAGCCGGCGCCGAGGGGGTGGGGGGTTCGGGAGGGGAGGGGTTTGGGGGGAAGGGATTCTCTTGGTTTTGATCGACGGCGCCGAGTGTTCGGGGGGTGGGGCCCATCCCCCGGTTCAAAACGCGCCGCCGAATGTTCCCATGGCAAGGGCCCGCGAAACGCGCCCTCTTAAACATTGAAACAGAGACAACAAATAGCAACTTCAACTCGACAGCGAAACAATTGGCGAATCGCCGGCGTGGAGGTGGAGCTCCTGACCGACATGGTCCTCGGCAGCGGCGGCTTCGGCGTCGTCGTGATGGGGCTTTACTACAACACCCTGGTGGCGGTGAGCGGAGGAGGGCGAGTTGGGACAACGGCGGCTGGCCTTTGGGGAGCCCCTCGTCGCCACGGCCGGGGGCAGCTCGGACAACGTGTGTGTTTGGACCCCATGGTGTGGTCTGTGGGCTGTTTTTCAGCCGCCGTGGTCTCGACTCGCCCCGCTCCGAGGTGAAGGCGCCGAGGGAGAACATCGCGCACCAGGGCGGCGTGGCCGCGTCCCTGCCCGCGCTCTGCAACGAGCTGCGGATCCTCCGGCGCATCCGCCACCCCAACATTGCGTTCCTGTATGGGGCGTGCATGGACGCCGCCTTGCAGAAGCTGTGCCTGGTGCTCGAGTTCGTGGACGGCGTGAGCCTCGGCGTGTTCATCCGTGGCCAGAAGTCCTCCGCGACGCCGCGCCCCGCAGCCTCCCGAAGCGCGTCGGTGCGGTCCCTGCTCATCTTCGACGTCCTGAGCGCGCTGCGCTACCTGCACTCGAGGCAGCCCGTCGTGGTCCACGGCGACCTGAAGGACTCGAACGTCTTCGTGGAGGAGCGGCGCAGCAGGCACGGGCGGAGCTCCTACCGCGCCAAGCTCCTCGACTTCGGCCTCTCCCGCATCCTCACCCGCAGCGCCAAGCCCCTGGGCGGCACCCTGCGGTGGATGGCGCCCGAGCTGCTCTCGCGCCAGCCGGTACCCCCCGACGACGCCGCCGACTGCTACTCCTTCGGGCTGGTGACCTGCCGACGGCATCTGCATGCCCAGACCCCCGACGGCATGATTTTTGCATGGCGTCGACCCCCTGGGGTCTCGACCCATTCCCCGGGACTGGTTTTTCGTCCTGAGCCGTTTTTTGACGGTCCCGCGGGCCGGTAAGGGCCCCCAAAGGCCAAGAATAATGAACTACGCTACCGAGGAACCCCACATACTTAATCTAAATCTTATGTGCTTGCTTAAGTTTATAATCTATGCGCAATTCTGCGTTCTCAGCCCTCGTCGCGAATGTTCCCCTCTGTGTCATCCAACGCCATATTGCTTGAACCTCCTCCCTCTTCCTAGCCTTCTATCCTCCATCGAGGACAGATTCGAGCCAGCCAGCGGCCGCGGTGAGGGACCACCCCCTGCGCAGCCTCTATGGTGTCGAGAAAATGCCGCGCCTGCTATGCCCTGGACGACCGTCGTGCATGGCGGCCGCGGTGAGGGACCACCCCCTGCGCAGCCTCTATGGTGTCGAGAAAATGCCGCGCCTGCTATGCCCTGGACGACCGTCGTGCATAGCGGCCGCGGTGAGGGACCACCCCCTGCGCACCCTCTGTGGTGTCGAGAAAGTGCCACTCCTGCCACGATCTGCGAGCGTGTCACGGATAGAGGCCGCGCTGAGGGACCACCCTCTGCGCACCCCCTGTGGTGTCGAGAAAGTGCCACTCCTGCCACGATCTGCGAGCGTGTCACGGATAGAGGCCGCGCTGAGGGTGCGCACTCTTGACCCCGCGTGTGGCGTCGAGAAAGTGCCACTCCTGCCACGATCTGCGAGCGTGTCACGGATAGAGGCCGCGCTGAGGGACCACCCTCTGCGCACCCCCTGTGGCGTCGAGAAAGTGCCACTCCTGCCACGATCTGCGAGCGTGTCACGGATAGAGGCCGCGCTGAGGGACCACCCTCTGCGCACCCCTTGTGGTGTCGAGAAAGTGCACCTCCTGCCACGATCTGCGAGCGTGTCACGGATAGAGGCCGCGCTGAGGGACCACCCTCTGCGCACCCCCTGTGGTGTCGAGAAAGTGCCACACCTGCCACGATCTGCGAGCGTGTCACGGATAGAGGCCGCGCTGAGGGACCACCCTCTGCGCACCCCCTGTGGCGTCGAGAAAGTGCCACTCCTGCGCTGAGCTGTGCTGAGCTGTGTTGTGCTGAGCTGTGCTGAGCTGTGCTGAGCTGTGCTGTGCTGTGTGTGTGGGGGGAGGGGAGGTGTGTGTGAGGAGACGCGGGTGCGACGCGGCAGAGAAGATTACGCTACCGAGGAACCCCACATACTTATTTTTAATCTTATGCGCAATCCTGCGTTCTAAACCCCGCGTCGCGAATCGTTGGCGTACTTGTCGTACTCGTCGTCTTACTCGTCGTACCCGTCGTCGTACTCGTTGTCGTTCTATCGTCTTACGTCTTACTCGTCATCGTACTCGTCGTCGTATCTCGCCGTCGCACTCGTCTTCGCATTCGTCGTCGTGCTCGTCGCACTCGTCGTCGCACTCGTCGTCGTCGCACTCGTTGTGCTCGTAGTGCTCGTCGTACTTGTCGCCGCACTCGTGGTCGTCGTCGTCGTCCTCCTCCTCCTCCTCCTCCTCCTCCTCCTCCTCCTCCTCCTCCTCCTCCTCCCCCTCCTCGTCCCACCCAATCCTCTCAACTCCTCCGCACTTCTCTCAATTCCTCCGCACTTTCCTCAACTCCTCCGCACTCCTCCCAACTCATCCTCCCAACTCCTCCGCGCCCTTCAGCGGTGTCGAGAAAGTGCCGCGCCTGCCACGCTCTGCGAGCGTGTCACGGATAGAGGCCGCACTGAGGGACCACCCTCTGCGCACCCCCATGTGGTGTCGAGAATGTGCCGCGCCTGCCACGCCCTGCGAGCGTGTCACGGATAGAGGCCCCGCTGAGGGACCACCCTCTGCGCCCCCCCTGTGGTGTCGAGAATGTGCCGCGCCTGCCACGCCCTGCGAGCGTGTCACGGATAGCGGCCGCGCTCAGGGGCCGCCCCCTGCGCACCCCCTGTGGTGTCGAGAAAGTGCCACGCCTGCTGTGCCTGGACGACTGTCGTGCATAGCGGCCGCGGTGAGAGACCACCCCCTGCGCACCCCCTATGGTGTCGAGGAAGTGCCACGCCTGCCACGCCCTGCGAGCGTGTCACGGATAGAGGCCCCGCTGAGGGACCACCCTTTGCGCCCCCCCAGTGGTGTCGAGAAAGTGCCGCGCCTGCCACGCTCTGCGAGCGTGTCACGGATAGAGGCCCCGCTGAGGGACCACCCTCTGCGCACCCCCTATGGTGTCGAGGAAGTGCCACGCCTGCTCGCCTGCCGCATGGCTTGCCGTGTGTATGTGTATGATGCGTGTGCGGCCATATCGGGACATATCTCACGTGTTGCCCAGTATGTCGTGCAGACGTCTTGGGTGTATGATGCAGTGAACATGCGTCTTGTATGTGCGAATGTGTGCATGCGTGCGGCTGTGTGCGAGTGTGTGGGTGAGGAGGCGGGAGGTGTGTGAGACGCGGGTGCGGCGCGGCAGGGAAGAAAACCAGAACCCCACGAAACATATGGGGAAAAACCAGAAACCCACGAAACATGTGGGGAAAAACCGCCCGTCGTGATTTGTTCATAACTCGAGGGGGTCTGGGTACACCACCACCGTGTCTGGCCAGGGCCATCTGGGGCCCCACTGTTGTGTGCACGCCCTCCTGGCATCGGCCGGGAGGGCGTCCACACCATGCCGGGGCCCAGGCTGGCCCTTGCAGGCCACGGTGGTGGTGCATAGATGCCCTGCAAGGGTGACGATGATGATGATGATGATGATGATGATGATGATGATGATGATGATGATGATGCTGATGCTGATGCTGATGCTGATGCTGATGCTGATGCAGATGCTGATGCTGATGATACTGATGATGCGGATGCTGATGATGCTCATGATGATGATGATGATGCTAATGATGATGATAGTGATGATGGTGACGATGATGGTGATAACGCTGATGATGATGACGATGCTGATGATGATGATGCTGGTGCTGATGCCGAAGCTGATGATGATGACGATGATGATAATGATGATGATGAATGTGATGATGATAGCGATGATGATGATGATGATGATGATGATGATGCTAATGATGATGATGTTGATGATGATGAACATGGTGTTGATGATGAAGATGTTGCTGATGCTGATGTTGATGGTGACGATGCTGGTGATGATGATGACGATGATGGTGGTGATGATGATGACGATGATGATGGAGATGATTGCGTAAAAGATGATGATGATGGTGGTGATGATGCTGATGATGATAATGATGATGCTGATGAGGATGAACATGGTGATGATGATGGTGATGGTGATGATGCGGATGTTGTTGATGATAATGATGATGGTGATGCTGATGACGATGATGCTTATGATGATGATGATGATTGCGTAAAAGATGATGACGATGATGCTGATTGTGATGATGATGCTCATGATGATGATGTTGATGATGATGAACGCGGTATTGATGTTGATGATGGCCATGATGATGATGTTGCTGATGATGATGTTGCTGATGTTGATGATAATGATGGTGATGATGATGACGATGATGATGGAGATGATGGTGACGATGAGGATGATTGCGTAAAAGATGATCTTGGTGATGATGATGATGATGATAATGATGATGATGATGATGATGATGATGATGATGATGATGATGATGATGATGATGATGATGAACATGGTGTTGATGGTGACGGTGCTGATGCTGATGCTGATGATGATGATGATGATGATGATGACGATGATGATAATAATGATGATGTCGATGATTGCGTGATGATGATGATGATGATGATGATGATGATGATGATGATGATGATGATGATGATGATGGTGGTGATGATTATGGTGTGTCGATGCCTTCCGCGCAGGTGACGTACTTCATCGTGACCGGCTGCCTGCCCTTCGAGGGCCGCCACGCCGAGCAGGTGCGGCGGCAGCTGCAGCGCGGCCAGCCGCCCAGCCTGGCGTGGCCCGCGCCCGTGGACGAGCTCTCGCGGGCCTGCCGCTCGGTGGTCGAGCAGTGCACCCAGGCGGGGCCCGCGCTGCGCCCGCCCGCGCGGCAGGCGGGCCGAGGAGGGGCAAGTCGACGTCGTCGTCCTCGTCCTCGTCCTCGTCCTCGTCCTCCTTCCTCCTCGTCGTCCTCTTCCTCCTCGTCAGGGCATCTGGGTCAGGATCACCCGCGCAGTTGCCCAGGGCGGCGGGCGCCCAGCTCCCACACTCGCTACATGTCCCCGTCACGGGACATCACCACCATGTTTCTCCTCCTCCTCCTCCTCTTCATCCCCCTCCTCCTCCTCCTCCTCCTTCTCCTCCTCCCATTGCGTTTGCTTCTAGATGTTTAGGTGTGGGCTGCTGGCTCCTGCTCGCCTTCGAGATGGCTGGGCGCCGCCTTCGCGCGCTCCAGTACAACTCGATGCACGCCTCGAGCGGAGAGCGACTCACTTCCAGAGCGCAGGCCTGCAAGGCCTATGGCTTCGTCTGCTTGAGTGGCACCACGGCTAAGGGTTTTGGCCGCGAGAAGGCTTGGGAGGCTCGTTGGCGCAACGCTGGAGATAATTACTGGTGTCTGGAGGGCGGACGGGCACGCGGGCCCTACACCAACAAGAGTACGGGCTGCAGCACCATCGTGGGCGCTAAGATCAGGAAGAGCTCGATCACCCACACGTGGGCACCGCCCGCCGCGTTGGCGGGGAGGGGACTCGCTCTTCAGGTTCGCTGATACACCGACGACGTGGGCATTTGCTCGGTCTACTTCCCCCCGCCGCCCGCGAAGGGCAGCGCCGACGTGTATCGCCGCACCTGTGAGGCTCTTGCTGGGTGGCTACGATCACTGCCCTACCTCTATACCAAGCGAGAGCTGCCCATTTCCTGCGTTGACCTCAACTCGGGGTTCGGCGACCAGCAGCTAGACGGCGGCACGACGTGGCGTGTCGTGCAGACCGATGTCCCCGGCCAAGCGCCCAGGACAAGCAGCGGTACGCCGCGAACTACATTCTTCCCCTGATGGAGGAGCTCGGCCTGGTCGCAGTCAGCACTTATATCGGCCATGGTAATATTTTTTTGATTGCCAGAGTTCGTCCCAGTTTGACTTCGTTTTATGCCCAAGACTCTGCTCGGCGACGTCACCTTGGCGGGACCGCTCCGAATGCTCGGCAGAGAGTTTCAGGTGACCAGCACCCGCCAGGCCCGCGATCACGTACCTGTGCACGCTTGCCTTCGCTACAGCATAGAGCACACCACGGACTCCCACATCCACTGCGACATGGCGGAGCATCGCAGGTTGGGTTACGTTCCCCGCCGCATTCCGTGGAACCGTGAGTCGTTGATGCCAGCTCTACGCAGTGGTGTGGGGCGGGCAGATGTTCTGATTGAGCTGGAACTTTATCTGCGTACACATGTTGATGAATGGAAACATGTACAGCGTCATGGGCAGACGCCCAACGAAGAATGGGCTTCCCTTATGGACGCTATGATGACGAATGACAGTAAGTATTTTGCTCAAGCTCCCGAGTACTGGCCTGGATACCGCACGCTGGCTGGCACGATCCAACCGTTGCTCGACCACCAGCGGGAGCTTCGACGCCGACTTCGGGCTTTTGGTTTTCAATGCGATTATGATGACACCGTACTGCTGGCCTTGCAAAAGATTCGGTGGCTGCTGACATGCTACACAGAAAAGTTGCGCGCTGCTCGTCGCCAGTACTGCAAGCAGTGGAGACACGACACGGTGGATGAGCTGAACGAGGCGCGACAACAGGGACGACGTGCCGAGGTTGCCCGACTCCCTCGACTTGTGGCTGGCACAGGAGTGTGCCCCCTGCAAGAGGGATTGCCGACGCGCCCCAGTTGCACTACCTACGGGAGGGGAGCTTGCTGAGCGCTTGGCTTTACCAGCGGGCCGCGGCGGCATGGCCACGGCCAACATCGACTGGATCAAGGACGCCAACCTTTACGTCTACAACAGCGACACGGGCCAGGAGGCACAACAGTTTCTGGCGCCATGGACCGAGGAGGGGCTGGTTTGGGCTGAGCGTCGCATTCAGGAGATCCGCGCTTGGTTACGACGAGCACCTCAGAGACGAGCTTGCCCGCCCTGGTCAGCACCGCTGGAGCTCTGGTGGATGGTCCTCCACCCCGACCGTCGAGCTTCACGTCGCCACTACGGTGTCGGCTACAGGACCCGTCAGATCGACCAGGAATACACTCGCAGATGCCTTGTCATCTTCATTCACCGGCTTCGGAGATCTGGACAGGTACCACTCGTGTGGCATCTCAGTCAGGGTGTCGCGCTCGCGTGGATGCGAGTAATCCGCCTCCGCGACACGCTCGGCAAAGGGTTAATGGCAACGGGCGTGGACCCTGCTGAACTACGAGACGAGCCGTTCTTCGCCCATGGCTGCATTCCTCATCGGCGGCGGGAGACGGCCATTCTTGGACAGCAGCTTTGCACATAGAAGCTGCGCAACCTCGGCATCAACCACACTACGGGCTTGAAAGATATTATTAACGCTTTCGCCTCCACCGACTGGCGCAGTTTGACAGACGCGAAAGAGATCACCATGAAGGAGGACCACGTGGTGTTCGGCAGGCAATGGTTTCGCTTTGATGCAGTAATGTTCGAAGATACATGCGTGAGGCCCAGCGTCGGCGCGCACATTGGCGACCCCTGGGCTGCGGAGGTCTTCGCGAGGGACATCAGCGCGGCGTTCGCGAAGGTGCAGGAGCAGTTCGAGGAGTTCGGCCCCGAGTCCGCGACATGGTGCCAGATCAGCCTGCACCATGGTGGCGACGAGTCCGCACTGGACCTCGCGTTCCACTCGTGCGTCGACGACGCTATTCGTAAGATAGTCGTGGCAGTGCCTGCAGCATCTGAGGTATCAAGATGGTTCCGGGCTTGCGACCTGCTGCCGTCGGCGGAGCTTCGCCGCCATGGCGACGCCCTCAACCCCAGCAAGAACGTCAGCCTCCTTCCGTTTCTGGGCGTGGCATTGCACGCTCGCCGCAGAGAGGCGATCAAACATAGACTCGTCTCGGTGGGGCCCCTGCTGACTCCACTCGCAACCTTGGGGGGCAGGTCATGGGGGATTGTTCGTTTCGGGTCGAGCTGATCTCCAGACTGTCTGCGATCTCGCCGGGTATCTATTCTACGGGTAAGTGCTGGTGCCCCCAGCGCGTCGTCTACACCGAGCGGCGCGCCGTCTTGCTCGCGCGCGCTACGGGGCCTACATGCTCGGCTTGCGAGGCGTTCCTGCCGACTCCGAGTCAGGCCGGCCAGCTCACGTCCAGGGTGGTGTTCTTCGGGCGCAGAGCAATGAGGGGGCCGCGGCGTCTTGGGAGTGGCCACGCCCGCTCCGTCACTTCAGAGGCCGTTTTGAGGTACTGGAAGGCTCCCCCACTGGAGGTCGAGTTTCGGGCCAGGCGCTTGCGGCGGCACCGGCAGTGGGCGATCGACCCCCTCAGGCACGCGAGCGAATGGGCCCCCCTCTGCGGCGACATGAAAGTCGAGAAACTACGGGGCCTCAGTACTCTGACCTCCGTGGGCTACCTCACGTCGACGGCAAACCCCTGGGCCGTCCAGTTTGCTCGGGATCTTGAAGCGCTTCGGAAGGTCTCCGCGGACATCGAGGGGGATATTAGGTCTTGGACGGGCGCCCCGCCGGAGTTCCTCGAGGAGGGGGGCTTGCGGGACTGGTTCACGGAGCTGGACCTCTCTGTCGCCAGGGCCGCGCGGCTCTCGCCCCCCCCCCCCCCCCGCCAGGGCGCCCCTTCTCAGGCTCTACCTGCTCCACCCGAGGCACCTGCAGAGCAAGTTGAAGGCTTTCGCTGTACGATAGGGTTGCACACACTGGTTCCTGATTAGAAGGCAATGGCTAGTGCGTGTTCAGGCGTCGCATGGCTTTGAGACGCCGCCTGGTGAAGCTGCCCAGGGGACCTCGTGCTTCGTTTGTTGCAGCAGGTTTCAGAGTCGGAATTCGGCCTACAACCACACGCTGGACTCGTTCGCCTCGGGGTTCTGCAGGCACCGGCTCAGCGCTACCCTCGAGCTCGGGGCCCCCGAGGGCCCTCTCGCCTGCCGCCATTGCGATGCTCGAGCCCCTACTGAGTTTTACCTCCACATCCACACTCGGCTTCGCTGTGAAGAACTGCCACTCGCGCTGACTGATGGAGCTCGGCCAGCCCAGTTGGGCGGCGAATCGCAAGGGCGCGGCAGCGACGGAGGAGGCCGACTCGAGGTCTGCCAAGCAGGCCCGCTTGCTCCAAGAGCTTGGCGAGGAGGCGACGGGAAACCAGAAGGGCGGCCAAGGGGGAGCGCCCAAGGCCTTGCTGCTGGTGCTCACGAAGCTCGCTCCCGCCAACGCGCGCGAGCTGGCCGAGGTGACTGGCGCCTGCTCTACGTGCTATGCGGCCGGCTCCGAGGCCCCGTTCTTCAAGCCGCTACAGGAGGCAGGGCGCGCATGCGCGGAGAGCTGCAAGGCCGACGGCAAAGATCACAAGTTCGGCCCCCCGTGGCCGCACGTCTGCAAGGTTTCATCAAGTGGGCATGCGCGGACGGCCTGCAGACGACCCCGCAGCCAGCTCGGGCGATCTTCCAGGACTACTGGAAGCAGGTGGTTCTGGGCCCAGGCGCGCTGGTGAAGATGGCAGTGCACTGCCGCCACTTTCGGATCAAAGGGATGAAAGCCTGCTGGTACGACAAGAAGAAGGCCACCAAACCAGACCGTTTCAAGGTGCAGACCATGATGGGAGTTCAGCAGCAGGCCAACAGGTGGAGGGGGAGCCAGCACGCGCTAATGGAGGCCATCCAGATCACGCTCGAGGCCGCCAGCACGAAGGCCCCCAGGGTCGCCTTCCTGCGGAGGGCTCGAAAGGGAGGCGGCCAAGCTAGTCCAGAAGTTAGGCCTCAAGGACATAGCGGCAGAGGAGCCGCGAGGGCCCGTCTCGTTGAGATCAACGGCTCGCGCCGACGAGCCCCTTCTCGCCCTCCAGGCTCGGACCTCCTCTCCTATCCTTAAGCGCGCTGATGGTGCGCTGGGCACAGCTGGTGTCTTTTTTTCAGGGCCTC